TATAAAGGAGCCTGAACTGGCAGGAGAGTCAAGCAAGGCTAGGCAGATCGCCATCCCCACTTGCCTGATGGGCTCTGGGAAAGAAGTCCTGCCTTTCCCTCTCTGTGTAGCAAGCACACTGAGCATGGCCCAGCACATAGGCACTGCTCAGCAAATCCTAAAGAAGTGGATAATGACGAACAGGTTCAGAGAGATGGACAAATGGGTGGATAGGTAAATGGAAGGAGAGACAGACAGTATGGTGAATAGAGGTGGACAAATGAATGGGGCATGGGTGGGTGGGATGAATAGATGGGTGGTAGATGGAGGTTGATGGCTGGGTGGCTTGATGATGCGTAGGCTAGCGATGGAAGTGGTGGACAAGCGACTGGGTGTTTGACAGGGAAGACGGAAACTGAGTCACTGAGAGGGTTAGTGACTGCCCAATGACACGCAGCTGGAAAATGCTAGAATCCGCATCCAACCCACATTGAGACAGCCTCCAACCCAAGTCACTACCACCACCAACACAGGGCGGCAACCAAGGCCGCCCTCCAGGACGTGGAACCCAGGACCCCGGCCAGATCTCAGGCACGGTGGGCCGCCTCCCGGACGTGGAACCCAGGACCCCAGCCAGATCTCAGGCACGGTGGGCCGCCCTCCCGGACGTGGAAGCCAGGGACTCGCGCCGGCAATCAACCAGTGGGTACGTGGCCCCTCGCCAGATGGAACCCAGGACCCCGGCCAGATCTCAGGGACGGTGGGCTTCCCTTGAGGACCTCCCATGCTGCAGCCACCAGCATGGGATGGGCCTCAAATGTGTGCACCAATGAATCAGCTTCCCATGAGCAGGAGCAGAGAAGGGCCGCACTGGCACGATGCTGTGTCCCTGGGGGGAAGCACGGCTCCAAGCCCCTGCCCTGGCCTGTGGGGAGGCAGCTTTGGTAAGAGATACCAGGCAGGGGTGTGGCTGAGCAAGGCCGAGTCCAGTGCCTTTCAGGGGCCTGGGACACCCAGCTGCTGGGGCAGGGTGGAAGACAGGCAGCTGTGAGTCCCTGAGGCTCCGCCTCATCGTTCCAGGCACGCCTCTGTGCGTACATGGCCACTGCACTGGGCGTTCCCTGATGACACCAGAGTCAACTTCCATAACCCCGAAAGCACAGGCAGGGACATGGTGTTCCCAAGATAGGCAGAGACGCTGTGGCACCCACAGGGCACAGATGGCCTGCGTTCTAGATTTTGGGGGCGGCGCCCAGAGACGCAGTGGCCTAAGTGATTTTCTGTCCCGTTGCCGACACTCACTGCCGCTGCCTGGCTTCACAGGGGGCTTTTGCTCCTCCAGGGCCCCAGGTCCTCCTGGGCAGAAGCGTTTTGTAGTCAGTGCTGGGGCTGAGGGTGGCTGACAGGAGCCGGCACTGGCAGGGCCACCTGCGATCCCCGCCAACCTTACCAGAAACATGTCAGGCGCACAGACAGAGGAGACGGTGGGGGGCGTGTTCTCTGGGCTGGGGCTGCTGCCGGGGCTCCCGCCCACTCGTCACTGGACTCAGGAGAGAAGCAGCAGGAACAGTGATAACTGTCCATTGGGATGAGCTAAGACACAGAATGTTCATCTGCACCACAGCCAGCTCGCGGGACACACAGACTCCAAGCCTTCAGTGCGGTGGCTGTGCCTCCTGTGAGAGGGGACCATGGCTGCTGGCACCACGGGCTCATGCAGCCCAGCTTTAAGAGGCTCGGCCGGCAGGGCTGGCAGGGCCTCAGGGCCGCATGCCGAAAGGTTCCCACTCCCTGACCTCTTAGGAGCAAACGCAGCATTTGTGTGAAGTCTGCTCTTTCTCATTTTACACGCCCCTCTCTTTAAGATGCCTGGCACTCAAACATCGACCCGGTCCCACTTCCCAGCAGACGGGTGAGGTGCCAGTCGGCCCAGCCCACTCGGAGGCACCCCGTGCCGAGGCGCTCAGTGATGAGTGAATGTCGTTCACCTCGAACAAAGCGGGAAGCAAAGCCTGAACATAAGCTCGGGCTCCAGGCACGCAGCCACAGTTCAGAAACCCCTGACCCTTGTTTCTGGACAATGGCTCACCACAGAGAACCACTGCCCACAGACCCTGGGAAGGGCCAGCCGGACCCAGTCCTTCACTGTATAGAAGGGAAAGGATGCTGAAGTCGGGTAGCGAGCCTGGGGCCCCTCCCTGCTCCCCAGCCTGAGGCTGGAGACCACAGCTCCGCTATCCCTCCTGGCAACCGGGCCGGGATCTCACAGAACCCGAGAGAGCTGCTCAGGGCCCAGGCAGCCCCAGAAACCCAGGTCCTGCCACATCAGCCACATGGGCTTCAGGCTACGCACACACACTGTGCTGCTTCAGGATGGGGCAGGGTGCATCCTGGCCCTGAGGCCTGCCCTACAGGCCCCGGATGTGAAGGGATGGGCCACTTCCAGCACTTCCACCAGGCAGCCCCAAGCCCTGTGCATAGGAACTTCCTGAAGGAAGCAGGAAGCCTGAGGCACTGCCTGCCTTTGTGTCTCTTC